GCCATTTATTTATACCACCAACAAAATGTGTAAGAAGTCGAAAGTATTACAAGTCAATTATTTCAGCGAAAATTCCCCCAAAACAAAATTGTAAATGTCAACATCATCCAGATTTTCAATTTACATGTGTTCACGTAAATTACGTACAAGAATTGGCTAGTTTATATAACGATGAGTGTATTTCATTATCAAGTAACAATAAGGCCAAAATACCACTTGGAGTTCCAGCAGTTAGTCATTACGTTAGATCAAGAAAATTCCATCAAATCGACGAATCTCCGAATTGGGTGTGTGTGTGGGTATAAGTGTGGGTGAATCATATTTTATCCACACCCACACCCACACCCACACCCCACACCCACACCCCACACCCCACACCCCACACCCACACCCACGCCCACACCCCACACCCACACCCCACACCCACACCCACCCACACTCCACACCCACCCACATCCACACTCCACACCCACACCCATTACGTGCATTTCTGATTTTCATATATGATGGGTAGCTTGAGGTATGAATAAAACTTTCAAAGAAAGCGATTAACTATCCATGGAGAAATAAAATCAAAAAGTGGTCAATTTTGTAACGAAAAAAACAGGACAACATCAAATGTTGTGCAATGGCGCAATATAGAGAAATGAAAGAATAAAAGAATAGAGGAATGAAGAGATAATAGAATAGAGGAATAAGAGAATAGAAGAATACGAGAATAAAGGAATACAGGAGTTGTCAAGGAATAGTGGGATAGCGGAATAGAGAAAAAGTAGAACAGAGGAACGAAGGAATGACGACTGATTGACCGGAAAACATTTTGAAGCGCTCCCTAAATTGTAATTATAAGAACTCATATGTATATGAAATATATATTTTTATCCAATGATCAACATGCTCATGAAAGAACTGTTTTTTTTCATTCTTTGTTTTGAGATAAATAGCTTTTGTATTCAACAAAAATATGTTAGTGGATTAAAATCTACAATAAACTAAGACGATTGAAATACACGAATAAAAATAAATGTATTCAGATTTACGGTAGGATTAGTAAATTCCGAGATTCATAAAATGAAATCTATGTTTAAGACAAAACATTTGAAAACAAAATAACAAAATAATACTTGTTTAATCAATAAGAGGCTATCTCAATGACTTTATATTCAACTATGCACGCAAGAACACATGATATTTATTATCTTTGAAAAAAAAATAAAACGCACGAGAGATTATCGTTATATTGATAAAATGGATCCATCTTATCAAAATAAATAAACAAATGTGTTTATTCATATTTTTGTTTGTTTGATCAATAGTTTTAATAATTTTTCTTACATGGAAAGAAATATATACGTGTATTAATGAATGTAGATCAGGGCTCCGCGTGGGATGGGATGGAAGTATGCTCAAAAATTTTTTGTCCCATGGGATGGGACAATTTTGAAGATCTTCCATCCCATCTCATCCCATGAGACTTAACACTTATCAATTTTTTTTAAAGTTCAATCCTTTAATATATCTTTCAGTTCGATCAACGGTACCAAATATTATATTATTTCACTTCGTGTTTCGTAATTTTATCATAATCAGTTCACAATTCTTTTCTTTACTTTCACAATAAAAAATCACATATCATTCTCTGAATGAATACAAAATAGTAAAATATGACAAAAAAAAACAAATCAATAAACGAAAACATTACTTCAAGTACATAGCTACCAGAAATAAATGAATGTGCGTAGAGTATTCTTGTAAGAAAACGCGATGTAAACGCATATGTTTGAAAACATGATTGACAACTAACAAAAGCTGGATTTGGTTCAAATTCTTGTTTTACATGAGATTTCTTCGCTGGAAAACCAAAAATTTTTCAGCAGACAGAAGATAAATTGTTCTTTGAGTTTTTAATAGCTTTATAATTTGGCGTGAACAATCAGCAACACAAGATGTGGATAAAGTGATGATAGAAGAAGACGAAGCAGTGATCAAGCTTATTGAATCAAGGTACAAGTGGAGTTTACGTACACCTCTATTGTGTTATATATATAAAGACAGAATAGAAAAAAAAATTATTGGATAAATTGTACACCACTATTGAACGATATATCGTTCAATAGTGGTGTACAATTTATCCAATAGTTTTTTTTTCTATTGTATCTTTATATATATAACACAATGGGGGCGTGTGTAAACTGCACTTGTACCCAATATCAAATCACTTGTTACTATTATAATAGATCAAATCGCGTTCTTTCTTTATATGTTGATTCATTATTTGTTTTATCGCGTCCTATTGGTTAGAGTGCTTAACCACTTACAGAATAGAAAAAAAGATTTTCTCACTTGTTTCGCTTTAACGAGCGAGAAGGACATCTATAGCGAAACTTTTTCATTGTTCTTAATAAAAAAAACATTCTAAAAGATGTTGATTTCATGACATGGGATGGAACAATCCCATCCAATGCGAAGCCCTAATGTAGATATTGATAGGTCTTACTGATTTTCAATTAGTGTTATTGATCATCATCAACATAGAAAAACAACGAAATATAGATCATTTATTGATTAGATTATGAATGAATTTAGAATATGCATAGACTGGTCTTAATTTAAAAGAGAATAAGATGAAATTAATTTATTGTTCGAAAAGAGTTGAATCAGTGAGACTTATGAGACACATTCTTCAATATGTTTGAGACATTTTTCCATTAAATTTTATTTAAAGCTCTTGTATTTTCATTCTAATAAAAATTACTAGTTTAGCGTAGGATATGGTCATCTAATGCAAAGATTTTTTTCATTAATAGTTACTCAAACAAAGTCCTTCTATTATCACCATCATCATCATTATCATAGCTATCTTTGTTACTTATACGATAATAAGTATAAGTTTTTTTTTCTTTCTATACATTCGATGTAATATGTAAAGTATTTTATTCATATACACACGCCCATGTGCAATGAAAAAGAAGCCAGATATAGAGAAAAAAAGAACATATAAAAAACTTATTGAAAAGAACAATGATTGTATGATATCTGCTATAAAATGTATTTTAAACAAATTTACTGAAAACTTTAGCATACCCCGCAGAAAAAATGATTGATTCATGTTCAGTTTTTCACGCTCTTTTCAATGATATAACTTTTATAGCGTCTGCATGAAATAAAAATTTTCAAAAGAGTTGACATGACACTCTATTTGCATAATCAAAAGAGTGTTAATCTGCTATTTAAATATATTTAGGAATCGACCATTGTTATCATTATGATCTATAATAGTTTTCTTGACGAAACGATAAGGTGAAAAACGCCATGTGATGCGATATTTCGCACTTTACAAACGGTGATTCAACGTATATCTATACACCGAAAAATACTAATCAAAAGCCGGTTAAGGTATAGATAAAGAGAGAACGAAAATAGAAAGAACATGTGGGTGTATAATTATCGCCAACAAACACTATGTTTATTGATCTATTATTAAACAAACAATCGTATGATGGTAGAAAGGACAATATGAATATTGATAGTTTTGAAACTCGAACACAAGAAGATGATACAGTCGTTCACATGTTTGATAAGCAGGCTGTGATGAACATGACTGATAGTGAACTGGTATGTAATTATTACTTGTATTTTTGTTTAGTTCTATTTCATCTTCAAAGCATATAGAAAAAAGTGTTGTTATTTTGTCGAATTCTAACTGACAACAACAACAGAGGGTAAAGAAGGAAAATAATGAGTTGTTAAGGAGGTTTCCTTTCGGAAAAGTCAATTTTTAAAAAAAAAAAAATCCATTTTGAAATTTATACGTATTCTAATACTCCTTGTAACAGACTACAGTAGAGTATAATTTCTTTTGCAAATCATGTCAATTGGTTTTTTCTGAGGATGTGCTACTGACCTATATAGATTGTTTCATAATAACTGAGGATAAAGTGTTAACGATATTTTTCGTACTTTTGCTTGATCGAAAGAGATGAAATTTTTATGATATATATAACTAATTAAAATCTTTTCGTTCTGAAAGTTTCAGTTCTCGAACTATGAACAACGGTAAAATATATCGATTAAATAAAATATTATTTCATAAATTAATCAGAAAATGAATAAAAACAACTGTGACAACAAGTGACATCTACGTATAAGGAGCCAGGACTACAATTTAAGCATGATGTATCAACGCACACGTCATTAATACAACTTGAAGAATAGCGTAGAAATCGATCTCTGTTACGATCTAGCCCTAAGGATACTCTATGCAATTTCAAACCGTCATAATATACTGAGCTCTCATCATTACTTTGAAAACTTTGTCCGTATCTAAGGTGTTTTTGACCAATGAATCGACTATAACTAGGCAGTGTCCTGCAGATTCGGGAAGATATTTTAACCATATACTATTTTAGTCAAGGCTAACATTTTCTGATATTTTGGTTGGAATTGGATGACAAATAAAAAAGTTTGTTTATGAGAGGAGGTGGAGGATTAATCATTTTTAATGATCGATGTAATAATGGATTATTGGTATGTTTTAGGATCAACATTCATTGATGAATGAAAAGACAATGATTCGCTATAAAAAGAAGAAGAAACGAGTAACAATCAAACATGATGAGATGTTGAGTGAGACAACATCAATATCAGACAACAATGCAAATGTAGATAATCTTCAAATGGTGACGAAGAACAAAGATGGAATCGCGAATTATTCTTCGTACGAATGTGATCGGTCAAATGAAGAAAAAATAGATGACAGCAGCGATCTAAGAATGTCGACAGAGGATATTACTAAGGCAATGAACGATTGGAGTATAGATAGAGATCAGGCTGCAGAAGCTTATGCCAGAGACCAATCTGCAACAACTACAAACAACATGAACGATTCCAAGTTGAACCTTAGTCCCATCGTTGGCTATGCCAATGAACCTTTGCTGCCACTGGTGAAAGCATGTGCCCCACTGTCGAATATTCTCTATGATTTATCAAAATATGTTCAAATGGCACTCGACGAAACTCCAGAAGAGCCATATGATGAACTAACAATCGATGAGAGTGCTGCAATTCGACTCTACACAATGGAATGGGAATCCCCACATCGAAGTCTTTATTCGATGCTTAATTATACACTGAAGATGGCCAATCGTGAAGATCTTCAACCTTACTTTAAATATCTCAAACTGTTCTTAACTGCTCTTGCCAAATTACCATGTGTTCCATCGCTAACTGTTTGGCGAGGAGTAACCAAAAATTTGAGTGCAGAGTTTCCACCTGGTACCATCGTGACATGGTGGACATTTTCATCAACAACAACTTCACTGACTGTGCTCGAAAACAGTACATATTTGGGCACTTCAGGAGGGCGAACACTCTTCTCTGTCGAAGCCATTAATGGTCGAACAATACGAGCACATTCACATTTTGTCACCGAAGATGAAATTCTTCTTCTGCCCGGCACTCAGATGATAGTTCAATCTCAATTGAATCCAGCTACTGATCTTTACATTGTTCACTTGAAACAAGTTGTACCAGAACAAATATTACTTGAACCTCCATTCGAAGGTATTCGAAATATGTTCAATAGGCTTGCTTTTAACTAAACTATTGCGTATTTTTTGTTTAGACGCACGTCTTTATCCAGTAAAGAAGTAAGGATCCTCTCATATTAATATAAGTCTATTTTTGATGAGACTTTTTTTCATATGATTTTCAAGGCGACATTGGTTTCGGAAGAAGCGATACATCCTTCCGATGTGTTTCTTGGCGACTATGTGCATTATTGGAACCATTATCGGTACTGTTATGGGAACTAAATATTCTGGTGACAAGAAAGGTAGACTTTTGATGATGTTTAGCATTTAAGACGATTGATATCTTCAAACCAAAATCTGTTTGAACTTTATTATACATGAAACCGTTAGAAGTGATGCAGGATTTGTAAGAATGAAAAGAATCTATGAATTGAGAAGGAGAGTAGACCAATCTAGGCTAGTTCAAAAGAGTGCATTGTACTGTCAGAATGACAGAAGTATAAATGAATCGAAGCGTAAAGGTCTAGATATTAGTCTATCGGTGTCATAAAATTGTCGATTATTTTTAACGTATACAACTTCATAAAGGACATTGATGAAAAAATGATTGTGAAAGTACATATTTAACAGGTGAGATGATGCCACTCTGTAAAATTTTCATAGATACATAACAGATTATTCCATACTTATTGATGCTGGAACAATTTTTGATAAACAGCACGGTATGTAATTAGAGTTCTGATGTAATAAATAAGAAAATGAATCATTAACAAAATATCAGTATTTCTGCAACTGTAGGACACTGAACGAAGAGTCATTCAGAGAAAATAATTCAGTAGCAACTCAAAATAAGAGTATAACAAATCTAGTTTAGTTGAATAGTATTTTAACGTATCTGACCATTTGTTTTTTCACGAATAAGTAGTCATCACTTGACTACAGTAAAACCTCTATATGTGGACACCTCTGCAAAATTAGTATCTCCTTATATTAGATAGTGAGCACTCATCTTCGGTCTCGTGATCAATAACATCTTCTGTAATATGAGCAACGTATTGTGTCACTCATGAGCAGAACGAGAAAAAAATGAGATTGTATATATCATGTTAGAATAAACAACTATAGAGTACGTAAAAGAAGGCGACGGACTATAGTAATTGTGTGGATTAAGCAAAAATGTGTTAGGCAACAACAGTAACAACCTTATATAACATCTTATCCTGTACTAACACGTTTTGATTAACCTCTGATTGAAGAAGTTGAACTAATTAACTATCGAGAAGGAGCAAAAGATTAATTTCTGTGGTTCTAAAGCGATTGAAACTGAATTCTAATAGACTGAAGAAAAACCTATAAACCTTTCAATAATCAGTATCTGCAGAAAGTGAACACTTGATCAATCCTGATAGTGCTCATATTAGAGAAGTTTCACTGTAACTAATCGTAACAGAATCGATCGTGGTTTAGTAGTTTGCCACTCCTAGGGAGATTTATTTCTTTGTTTAAAAGAGACAATCTCACTCTGTAGCTTACTAAAATATGGAAATTTCTAAGGAGAAATTACTACTCACCATTGGGTGGAAGCCTACATTTGCTCAAAGCAAGGAACATTAATGGGATACCGAACATATTTTTTACGGAACCTAACAAAGAGTTAGAAGCTTTTCATGTCAATTTTACAAACAGTTTTTTTTTTAATCCTCAGATTTCTTCCGGAGGTTCAGAAACCGTTTTTTTGTTTATTTCCAATCAATAGATCATTAAGAAAACAGCTTAGTTAAATTATTTTTCTCGTATAGAAATTAACTTCTTTTGAAATGACAATATGCGAATTTGTGATGAATATTTTACATCTAGAAACAGGATAATGAAAATTTTTGCTGGCTGTTAGTGTGTAATTTTTAGAAATATATATACATAAAAGTCATCTTTCTAACCTTAGTGCTTCTCATTCTTTTCGAAAGTAAATACTTAGCTATGGACTGTTATTAAGATGGCAATTTAGTTTTTACTCTTGTCTTCTTTCATTAGATCTATGTCAAGATCCATATGGAGTTCCAATGAACTATAAAACTGGTAGTTCTCCTGTCTCTTTAACGCTGGGAAGATTCAACAACGATCAACTAGTAGACATCATAGTGGTCAATCAGCTGGATGACGACGTTGGTATACTTATAAGTCAAGGAAATGGAACATTTCAAACTCAAGTAAAATATACTACTGGTCCTTTACCCGGTTTTATACTATCAGATGATTTTAATCATGATGGCAAGCTGGATCTTGTAGTGGCCAATCAAGGAGCAGACACTGTTAGTCTCTTTCTTGGTTATGACGATGCTACTTTTCAGAGTCAAAAGAAGTTCAAAGCTGGTAATCAACCATATGTTTTGGCAATAGCTGATTTCAACAATGATTCCAACAGTGATCTAGCGGTAGTCAATTTGGCAGAAAACACCTTGAGCATCCTCCTTGGTAATGGCAACGGAAGCTTCCAAACTCAAACGAAGTACGCGACCGGTTTTAAGCCAATGGCTGTCATATCTGCTGATTTCAACAATGACAAGAAAATGGATGTGGTAGTAGTCAATTATGGTGAAACTACTGTGAGCATTTTCCTTGGCCATGGAGATGGAATTTTGGGCGATTCGATGTTGTATGAATGTGGTCCCAACCCATATAGTTTGGCATCAGGTGACTTCAACAACGATACTAATATGGATCTTATAGTGGTTATCTCAGGCGACAATACTGTTAGTTTACTGATCGGCAATGGCGATGGTACTTTTCAGGCTCCAAGGAAGTATCCTGTTGGTAGCAGTCCAGAAGCTATAACAGTAAATGATTTCAACAATGACAACAAACTGGATATTGCTGTAGCTAACTATCTGGAAGATACTGTCAGCGTCTTATTAGGTAACGGAGATGGAACATTCCAGCTCCAAACAAAGTATGGGACTGGTACCACCCCGTTATCTGTGATATCAGCTGATTTCAGCAATGATAATATACCAGATCTCGTAGTATCCAACCAATTCGAAAGTAGCGTGAGTGTGCTAATTGGTTGTGGCAATGGAACCTTTCAGAAACAAGTCAAGTATGCCACTGGCAGTGGTCCAGGCTCTGCAGTATCAGGTGATTTTAATCATGATCAACAACTAGATCTAGCAGTAGTGAATTACTTTGAGTTTACTGTCACAATACTTCTTGGCCGGTTTGGTGGAACATTTTACACTCGAACTCAATTTAAAGCTGGTGCAAAACCATCTTCTGTGACATCAGGTGATTTCAATAATGATAATAAATTAGATGTAGCTGTGGCTAATCAAGATGACAATAGCATCAGCCTGCTACTTGGTAATGGAAATGGAATGTTTAAAGACCAAATCAAGTATGCAACTGGCAAGAGTCCTTCTTGTGTCATATCATGTGATATTAACAATGATAACAACCTCGACTTAGTAGTAACCAACTTTGAGAATAGTTCCATTGCTATATTACTTGGCAATGGAAATGGAATCTTATGGAATCAAATGAACTATACTGTTGGTAGTAATCCTATATTTGCGATTTGTAATGATCTCAATGGTGATAGCAACCTAGATCTGACAGTAGTCAACTATGGTGATAACACTATCAGTGTACTGCTTGGTACTAGAAATGGAACTTTTATTACTAACACGACGTATGAGACTGGTCAAAGTCCAGCTTCAGTGACATTAGGTGACTTCAACGGTGATAAAAACCTGGACCTAGTAGTGGCTAACTCTGAAGACAACACTATTAGCTTGTTCTTTGGTAATGCTGATGGAAGCTTTCAGAAGTCAATCGCTTACACTGTTGGTAGTAACCCAGTTTCCGTAATATGTGGTGATTTTAATAATGATCAACAACTAGATATAGCATCAGCTAACTACCTAGACGATACGGTGAGTGTACTGCTGAATAATGGAAATGGAACATTCTATGCTCCTCTAACCTATCTTGTTGGTAGCAGTCCATCTGCTATGGCATTAGGTGATTTCAATGATGATAACAAAGTAGATTTAGCAACTGTTAATAAATACTCGAACGATTTGACTATTTTGCTGAACAAATGTAAATAATGGCTTATCAATGATCCAATATATGAACATTGAAGGTGTCAAATGTTCGTTTGTGACACATTGAGAGTGCTACAAAGTATACCAGAAAATGTTGCTTGTTTCTTTTTTTTATCATGATGTGTTAATTGACCTAGATGTTGAATCTTGTGTGTACGAATTCTAGTTAGATTTTCTTTTACTTACTCACTTCTTCATTTATACATACTAACAAAACATATAATTAATGCTATGAAAGATCGTTGCTTGTTTTTGTAACCATTCAGAAAGAGATTAAAGAAATAGATGAAATTTGATTGTTTGTTTTTTCGAGAAATAACTAAAGAATTTTATCTGATCAGTATGAAGCATGGCGAGAAGACAATGTTTTGAAACTTATCCAACTAGCTTAACTAAATTTATTACGAAGTTCTAATCTTATATAAATGATTACTCTTTTATAATTTAAATCCTATTAAATAGATGCTTTTGGCTGTCTCACATTTATTTTTAAACCTTCCAAAAAAGAAGACAAGTAATCTCTATGATAAATGCATAAAAACACATGCTATTTCAGCATAAATCGTTGAATCTCAAGCAGACACTCTTCATCCAGTGCTCTATTAATGTGAAAGAATGAAAAAAAACAAATGAAGAAATATTGATACCTAATGCGGAAAGGATATGATTCCAAACATTAAAAAAAAGCACCGAGCTATAAGTTGATTGTAAAGTTGGTTGTAGTTTTAGAACTCCAAGTTGCTGCCTAGAATATATAATAATCATTAAGAGTAAGACAAAATGGAGCTGTCATTTTTCCTTCTATTCATTCCATTGAGAAACAGGTTCTTAGACAAAATATGAGTTAGAAGTCAAATTTTACTAACAATAGTACACTTTACACTTTTCTGAACACTGGTACAGTTTTCTGATTGACTATTTCAATTGCATACAGCTAAAAAGATTCAATCAACGATGTGGGCATGGGTG